TGAGGCCTCAAGAACACACAATGGCATCCCCCCCGCAAGGTATGGGCATAGCAAAAATGGCTGCCAAGTTGTAACATCTCATGTTTATGAAATACATGGAAGCTCTCATTGGATTTGATTTGAGTCACATCTAGTTTGTGATCCAGGCTCCACCTAGTGCGTTGTCCTGTACACCCCTGTTTCGGAAACGCAGCCTCCCGATAACCCCTCAAACCCAAACCCAGCCCTCCCTGGGGGGATATGTTGGGAGGTGGAGATTCTCCGGGCAGAAACCAACCGGGCAGGAATAACGGGAGAAAGGTTCTAAGAAGGGGGGCCAGCTTCATCCACCACAGGACAGAACTGACAGGAGTATCTGCGGCCTCAGGAGATAATGAAAGGGTTTGACCGGGCGTGGAGCGTCCAGGACGCTTCCAGCCAGGGGAAGTCTGGCCCCTTCCCTTCCGTCCAGGCAACCTAATTTAAACAGTAAGTGCTCTTGCTGACATCTTGACTCGGTTCCCTGGATGAAGTACATCCTGCTTTCCAGAGGCTTTGTTGATCTCTCCATTCGACCCCAGGCTCCCCCAAACAGCTGCCCTGCGGGTCCAGTGGGCTCTTTCCCTGTCATCCGCTGAGTGGGAGGAGCATTGTCAAACCCATTCCAAGGGCACCAGGTTGGGGAGGCCAGTTCTAGCCTGTTCTGTGTTGTATTTCATCCCATCCAGACCAGCGGGGCCCATGGGGCAATGGGGAGGCTTAAAAGTCAAGATGATAGTTGGACCCCAGGATCAGAGCCTTGCTCCTTTTTACATGTGTTTGTGCAATGCAGACACCATCTTGACTTTTTTAAAGCCCTCCCCCTCTGCCGAAGATATCGCTGCTCCAGGCATAGCTTTTTCCATCCCCCTTCTCTTCTTAGCAACCCTGAAAGCCTAGGAGAGGCCCAGGGTCTCAAGGATCTGACTAGGATCTCCCGCCTCTGTCTTCTGGGCTTGCAGTGCTGTGTTCTCTGTGCCCAGCTCCATCTCTTCGGAGAAATCCAAGATGCTTGGAGTAAATGCTCAGCTCTCCTTTCTTTTTCTTTTGCAAAGGCGGGAAGAAATCGGGCGGCAGCCGGGTGCCTGCTGATCCTGCCGCAGCTGACAAGGCCGAGCCAGAGGCGGTGGTGGTCAACGGGAAGGAGGACGACCAAACTGTTGAGGAGCACCTCAGCAAGGGCATCAGCCAGCTGACCACCAACACAGACACCACTGAGGGCCCAAAGGACAAAACCGAGTCGGTCACCAGTGGGCCTGTGACCCCCGAAGGGTCCCCTTCCAAGTCTCCTTCCAAGAAGAAGAAGAAATTCCGGGCCCCCTCCTTTCTGAAAAAAAGCAAAAAGAAAGAGAAGGCAGAATCCTGAGGTCTTCCCTTTTCCCCCCACACACCGCCTCTTCTTCTCTCCTTGTCTCCCCTTCCTCTTCTCGCCTTCTGCTGCTCCCTCCAATCTTGCTGCAACACCACGAGGATAGTGGAGAAAACTTACCCTGGCAATGGCACGTCTTTCGGAAATACCCCGAAGAGGAACACAGCCTCAAATGGCATTCCTCTTGGAGGTGTCTTTCTTGTTGAGCCCTTGGGGAAGACAAGAAGCATCTAAGACATCTTCCTTCTTTCACTAAAGTCTGTGAATCCACCGATAGAGCCGCGCTGGAGAAAAATATTCTGGCATGTTAAGCTCAGTGTGGGAGGGAGACGGTGCATTTCATGTAACCGTTAGCCACTTCTCCTCTGTTGCTCTCTTGCACGAAGGCATCAAGCCGTGGAGTGCTGTTCCAAGGGCTTCTTGAAGATGCACGGGTGGTCCTGAAGCAGGAGGTGGCCTGCACCCACGGGGGCCTGGGGTGATTTTTACACTTGTTAAATGGTCACATCTTCACTGACGAAAATTGCTCTGAACTTCAGAAGTATCATGACATTTTCACCGCAGCACAGCTGCTAGAGAAACCTAAAATTTATCGTGGGGCATCTGACCAGGGAGCCTTCAAGCACCATCAGTCTCCTCTATCTCCAACAGGGTGACCCCAAATGCCTTCGGAGAATCGGGTGTTGTACTGTTAAGCGGTGCACGATTGGTGCATGACACCTCAGTGGTCCCACAGAGCCAGAGGTGGCAGAGGACAGTTGCCGTTCTGTGGGATAGCAGGGAGGGTGCAATCTTCTGGAGGCCTCCTGTGAGCAACCCCCCTGGAAACGATGGACAGAAGCAAATCTGTGTGAGTGAATTAGGTGTGAAAAGAAAACACAGCACGTTCCACGCGTGCTGGCAACCAGTTGGATTTCTGCACTCAAACGTCTTGAATTAGTGCGGATTCCGAGGTACAAGATTGGCCTTCCCAGCTTGTCATCTACAACTGAGAAAGATGGGAATTGGGATACAATACAAACAGAAGGTGCCAGATTAGGCAGCAGTTTATCTGCGAGTCCCTTGCCACACGGCCCATTTTCAAGCTCAAAAAGTTCTGTCTCGGGCCCGCTGCTGAGTCTCTTCTGACATCAAAAGGGAAACGTGGATCCCCACTCCAGAGACCCGTCTCGCAGTGGGACAGGAAAACAAACCTCTCTGAAGTTCACCTCACCTGCATTGCATCTTGCTATTACTCCATATCAGTCACATAAGTGCTTCTATGTCCATCTGGAATATTAAGAGCAAAGAACACACGTGCACGCCCACACTTGCACACATGCACTCACACTGCCAGGAATAACTCATGTAATAGCAATGAGTACTACTGAAATTGCAATGGATAAAGCTTGTAGAAATAATTTCTCACTGCACTGTTAAAGAATATTGTCATGCGTAAGTTATTTACTGAAGTGATGATAAAGTTTGCTGCGATCGTATACTGCTTTAAAGAATATGTATTCTGTGCAGAAATGGCCTTTCGCTGCTTCCAGTAGAAGTGACCTGGTGTTCTAGCACGACGATGCGGATTTTTACCTGGGGCTTCCCATTGTGCGTCCGGCTTGATGGCACCGGTGAGCAGAGCCAGCCTGGGGTCTTGAGGTGGCAGAAAGATTGTCCTTGAAAACTATTCAAAATCTTCAAGCAGAGGCGTCACATAGCCTTGATTTCTTTAGCTAGTCTGGAGCAGAGGGCTCAATCTTTTTGCCCCAGTGGGGATTTTGGAAGGATGCTGTGTGTGCTTCACAAAACGGCCGTCACGGTGGGCACGGCCAGTCAGTTGGTGAGCTTTTCTCCATCAGCCCTCACCAATCCCTTCAACTGCTTTCTGTCGTCCCAGCCTTCCTTGGTCTCCCTCACCTACCCAAGCAGGGGGGCTCACTTCCAGACAAAGGCTGGGCTCCAGCCACCCCCCATTTTTGTTTCCCTTCTATTTCAAGAGGAAAAGCGGCATAAAGATCATGCAGGATTCTGAACCCACATTGCCGGAGATCAACCTCCCATTTTGCCTTGTTTTGTACTCTAAAAATAAGGCGAGGGAGGAAGCCTGGTAAATTCGTGGGCACACTGGGGACGCTCAGTGCCATATGCAGATTGCCCTCTTCAAACGGGGACTTTGGGAGAAGTGAGTGGGATTTAGCCAACGCAGAAAAAGCGAGAGTTCCCCATCATTCTTGTTGCAGACCCTAATTGCTCACACACAGACGGACTCTGCAGCAAGAAACCTCCATGGGGTGAGTGAATGGATGGGTGAAATGATCCACCTCCCCAGCCCCCCAAAAGCTGTATTTAGATTGCCCTGTTGGAAACAGCTTTTCCATTTTTTTAAAACAAGTTTTTTTCTAGAAACTCCTAAGAGTGACATCGCCTTGACTTGTTTCCAGGCCACTTCCAGCAAAGCTGCTGAATTATTTGCAAGTTAGGAGCAGCCTGTCACTCTGAGAACTGTGCAGTTCCAGAAAGAGATCTTCCCCTAGAACTGGTTCACAGCAGTACTTGAAATAGGATGCTGAAGACAAGGCAGGTGGCCGCCTGCTTTCAGATACCTTATTCCAAGGTGCTAAAAAAAAAAAAATACAACTTAGTGACGTTAAAGTGGAAACTAACATTATCATCTGGGAAAGGAAGCGTTGCTCCTTTTGAACAAATTGTGCCACTCATATTCTTGCAGTAAGGGGTTTTAAATGTTTCCCACAACACTTCTGTTTCTCCAGAGTGTGTGGAAGATGAACAGCCTCCTGCAACATAAGCAAGTTTTACAGACCATGTTTTATGCCTTGAGTTCAGTGTCACCCAAGGGTGCTGAATAGCTGAAGATTAAAAATGAGCAAAGGAAGAGGCTAGTGGGTGCCACAGATAGAGGAACTTTCATTGCCGCAGGATTGGGTCACGCCACTGCGAGAGGTTGCCTTTTTTAAAGGACCAGGCAGCGGAAGGGAACCTCCACAGAAAGAGATTTCTCCTGAGCAGCAAATGCTGAAGACAGAAAAGGAGGAATGCCACCAGCTCCGTGCCCTCCTTTGAGTTTGTCGTGATGCATTGGCTGCAAACGAGTGGGTAGCCCACTTGAGCCCAGTTCAGCATGGCTTTTGTCATAAGTTCTTATACAATGGGGTTTACTTACCTAAAAATTTACAAATCCGCGTAGGGATAGGATGTCCTGAGATACATTCCATGATAAAACACAGGGCAGCTTAGCTCTCCAGGTCAGCGTATGCTTCCTGAAAAGGAACTAGTTCACCTGAGGCAGCAAAGATGCCGATGTTACTCCTGTTCTTTCATATGTGTGCTTGTGCAAACATATGTGCAGGCAAAAAGGTTCAATGCAATTTGGCGGTGAAAGAGCTAACCCCCCTTCTGCTTGAACTCGACATAGGAGCAAATTTTTCCTTGTATTTCAAAACTTAAATTGGTGCTTTGCAAAGAACAGCTTGTTTCTCTTATAACAAGGACCAAATTCCCTCTTTCTCAGTAGGAAATTGAGAAGTAACTAATTCAGAATATGCAAAGTAAGCAACTGGAGATGTTTAGCAAATAAAAAGCATCTCTGTATTTTGGTGCTTCTGCAGACCAGCCAATCCTGTTAAGCAATTCAATCATATACATGTGCAGAGAATCCTTTTAGGGAGGGGCAGAGATGGCTTTGCGTTGCCCACCTGCGTACGCTCCTTGTGTTTCAGACACGCTCCTTAGGAGCCTGTGCGCTTCTGGCCAGCTCGCCAGCTCTGCAGATTGAGTAACTGCTGCTTGAGCCCTTCAGCGGGTTTGGGCACCTGGCTGTGCACACCAAGAATCAAACCCATTGTGCCATTAAAGGGGAGAGGATGGCGGCCACTGGTTGAGAAATCATTACACTTAGTAAGCCTATTTTTCTAAAGCAACCTCTGCACTCCTTTCGGATTTTCTGGCTTCAGTGGGATCTCCAGAGATGGAACAGCTCAGGCAGTGTGAGTGACACACAATCCAGTGGGAAGTTTTGTGTGTCAGTGCAGCAGCTGAGCAAATGCTATCAAAAGCCCCAGGTTTTACTGCCAAGCAGTCTGGCGAACAACCACCCTGGCTGAAATGGTGGAGAGTGAATGCCAGACCAACCTAAACACCAGGGACTCTGATGCTCTTAAATGAACCAGGGGTCTGGCACAGCCCTTAGTCTTGTCATCGGGCTTAAGCAAAACTGAGTTCACTGAAAACAGAAAAACGGCACATAAATCAAGCAAGTAAATAAACGACTTGCTGGATTGTCCCCTGACCAATAGAGGGATCAAGACTGTTCTTTGGATTTTCTGACTTGGGCTCCACAATTTCTTGTGTCAGTTCGGGCCTGTATCTCTGGGCAGCAGCAATCTTTTCATGCTGCCTTTGAATAAACCAGATGAATGTGTTTTCTTCATTATCATTATCAAGCGATGGTAAAGTGGATGCTGCAAAAATGCAAAGCCTTAAGATGCAATCCTTTTCCTGATAGCTGCCTGCGACAAACATTCTCGCAATTGCCCAGGCAACGTGGTTGCCTTCTGTGGCTTTTACAGAGGTCAGTGGAGTCGGAGGCTAAACAAGGCTGGTGCTAAATAAGGGTAGCTATGCTGGGAGAATAGAACTAGCTTCTGGAAGTTTTTTTTTCCCCTCTCATTTGGTAGCAGGCTTGCAATGCATGCGCTCTAAGAAACAGTATAGATAAGCTACAAATTGAAAGATGGTGGGGAGATTAAAATCTGAGAGGTAATCACATTAAGTCTTATTCATAGCCAACTGAAAACTCTTCTGCTTAAAACAACTCAAAACCAGAATACGAGGTTACAGCTCCTTGCCTGGATCTTTCCATATTCTTACCAGTTGTGCTGTCATTTTGATACAGTAGTCTCCCTCAATTTATGTCTCCAAATCAGTTGGATGTCAATTCCCAGTCTTTTGCATAATTTCTCAAAGCAAAAAATCTGGCTAAATAGTCAACATTGCCTATAATATCTGAAAATTTTAAAAATCCAATTAGACACCCAAATTGTGTGGCACTCCCTTCCTCAAGCATCATCTACACTAAATAAGTTCCTGGTGAATTATACCCCTTTGAAAATAACAAGCATTTAAATGTGTAATTAAATACTAAACCCCTCCCCTCCCCTTTATAGGGCTTGGAAGAGGTATTTAAGTTAGAGAAAAAGACTGCTATCCTCACCATGTAATTACATGTCAACTTAGCAATTATTTATAAGCGCACATCTGTTCCTAGAAGCATTTATTTCATGTTAGCGGGAAGGACTATGCAAGTGTGTAAGTTTGAAATAACTTTAATTACTGCTGCATTATGCAGCTGACTGACAGCATTCACTTTAATCCAGAAAAGGTGGGTGGTGTTTCTCAAGCAAAGCAGGGACAGAAAAGAGTTGTCTTTTCCAAGGGGTTGACAGTAGAAGAACTTTTTATCCAAGTAAGGAATCCCAGATGAAAAAGCAATGCTTTTTGTCTCTTGTTCACATTGGAACTTAAACTAGGAGCCTCCATCAGGGACTCATAGCTTGGGCCTCTTCCATCTTCTAAAGAGATGCTTTCCAGCCATCAACACCTGTTCTTGCTCTCAAATGAACTTGGTGCTGATGGAACCATCTATGAGGACTTGACCGCTGATCTGGAAATGTGCAATGGGCAACGGTGGGCAGGAGGCACAGGCCACTCATGAGAGAGGCATGATGATGGCCTATATATGGGTTTTAGCAACACCTGACAAATGTGTTGCTAAAATCATGTGCCCCAAATCACTCTTTACAGCTGTAAAACGTGTGATTGCAGAATATACATATTTTGAGGTAAAGCTAATCATCTCAAGGATATTGAAACACTGAATTTGCAAAAACAGCACACCGTGTTTCTAAAACAAAGAAAAGGCAGTGATAGGTTTGCTGTCTGATTCTCAGTTATTCTGTGGACCAGCTCTCTCTACATTTTCCAATCTTGTACAGCTAACAAGCATCAAACCAGAACTACTGGTAGATCTATCTTTCTGTAGCAGGCAGTTCATTCTTGGATCGCATTGTTCAGCTCCTTTGCAGTTTACCTCAACTGTTAAGCAAGCCACAGCATACTGACATTAAGAGCAGGCTGAATCAGAACTGGTCTCAAGTCCTTGGATGTCCATCAAATTGAGTTCAACCCCTGGCTCCGCTCAAGTGATCTTTCATGAAGAAGTAGAAAAAGTGGCCCAGAGAGTTACAGGAGTCGGTGGGCAACACATTCTAGCTCTGACAAGGGCAGGAACACCCTGAAGGTCTTTCACCCGCCCCCACCCCACCCCCCAATTATCAGGCAGAGACCCAGGTCAGCCAGAAGCAAATGTAATAATAATACAGTGTGTGTCAAGTGAGCTGCAAAAATTTAAATGTCTGTGTCTGACAATCGTTGCTTCAAAGTGCTATTTAATGTTGCCCTCTGTAAATAAAGCCCCCATGTTTGGCCTTTGACTGACATCGTGAAGTCCACCTTTGGCGTTTTGTTATCAAACAATCACTTGTGCAACTCAAGATTCCTCTCTCCATCTGTTACTCCAAAAAACCACGTATTTTTCTTTCTGTACAATGACACTTCTTGAGAAAATTAGATTGGCAACTTGTTTCTTGATGGTTTGTGTTCCTTGGCAATTTCGTATCTTCCTTTTTGTACTGTACTTTGTTTCCACACACTGGAGTATTTGCTGTCTTCAAAAGAATTTGGTGCGTTAGCAGCTGAGCCCTTCCCAACGGTGCCGCTTCGCCATTCTGCTGTTGCTGCTGCATGTTCCTCCTCGCAGGCGACGGTACACATTCTTCTGCTTGGCCACTTAATGGTAGTAAAGCAACGTTACTCTTCTGCCAAGGTGGTGGTGGCTGCCCCCAGGCTCCAAAAGTTGAGGCCAAACAAATACTGCTGAATGTCTGAATAAGAGACTTCTTTAAAAAGCTTTTCGTCTCATCTGATTGTTCTAAAAAGAAAAAAAAAAGCATATACCAATAAACTTTCACCAGAATACCAAATTGTTTTGGAAATTTCTGTTTTTCATATGAGCCAGCACAAGGCATTTAACCAGCACAAGCTAAAATATCAGGCCCACAAAAGTCTATTTTGAAAGACTACTGGTGGAAATTCCATTCTCCAGATTATTTTTCTCAGCAGTGGAATGTTGGGTGGGCTAGGTAGTAAATTAAATTCTACTAGTACTTTCCAGCTACAAAATGGATAACTATTTCTAAGGGGGAAAAAAACTTTTAAAAATGCTGAATACGTTGATAACTCGCTATTTTGAGCGCATTATCTACTCTTGCTAGAAATGTTCTAACCTATGAACATGGCCCCACACCCTGCTGCACCTCTTGGCCGTTGTGTCAGCAACACCTCTGATCATTTGGGATCAAGGGAGGTGACAAAAGGACCTGAAACCATCCCCACATTGAACTCCAGCATTTGCCCCATGGCAGCTGGATAGGCGTTTCCCCAGGAGGTGACTTGCGTGTCTGCTGGAAACTTTAAACTTCAGTTTCCACCAGCTGTGGCCAAGGTGGTCAATGAAAAGGCTGTACAGGAGCCAAGTCGTCGCCCAAAGATTGAGAGTTTCTAGTGGTATCAAGTTCCACCTGTGAAAATCCAGAAAAACCAGCTGATCATCCTGGGAAAACTAAAGTGTGGATGCCGGGGCTCTCCTCCCAAGACATCCTTTGGGGCTTTGGTGGAAAGAGGCATTAACTGAGAGCCAGTTTGGTACAGCAGTCAAGGTTTTGGCCTAGAAACCAGAAGATGGTGAGGTCTGGACCTGCCTTAGACATGAAAGCCGGCTGGTGGACTTTGGACCAGTCCCTCTCTCAGCCCAACTCACCTCACAGGGTGGTGGTTGTGGGGAAAAGCAGATGAGGAAGGAGTATTATCCATGTTCACCGCCTTGAGTTATATATATGGTGACCATGTTTTCTTGGAAAAAATTGACAAATCTGAAAGAGGCTCATAAGGATAAAAAAAATTTTTTTAATTGTTATAACTTTGCTTTACAAAGGAAAATTCAAGAGCAAGACCAAGACAATTTTTACAAAAACGCATATCCTAATAAAGGACAGCTTTCTGAAATAAAGGACTGTCCTTTATAATAAAAGGCATACGGTCACTGTAGTTATATATTACCAAGGCGGGATAAAATAATAATATGAGAATCAGCCATCCCCAAACGGCGCCCTCCAAACACCTAAAACCTTAATTCCCACCAAACTCAGCCCAAAGTCATGCGCGCTGGGAATTAGGGCCGCTGAGGTCCCAGCTGGAGGTTCTGCCTCTGCCCAGCCAAGCCCACGGGCCGCGGGGTTT